GCCGCCTCAGCAAAGACGGCGGTGCAGAGACGCGGCCCACGACGCCTGCAACAAGGTGTGTGTGTGTGTGCGTGCGTGCGTGCGTGCGTGTGTGCGTGTGTGTGCATCGTGCGCGTGTGCATGCGTGTGTGTGTGTGCGTGCGTGCATGCATGTGTGCGCGTGTGTTGTGTATGTGCTTACATGCGTTCGTGCATATATGATAGTGCGTGTGAGTGAGCATACGATAGTGCGTGTGAGGGAGCATATACGATAGTGCGTGTGAGTATGCATACTTGCCGTGCATGTGTGATGCGTAGGAGCGTACCTCTTGCGCGCGTATTTGCATGTGTCTAAATCTGTGAGTGTTTGTGTAGGTGCTCACATGCCTGCATCTCATTCCGTGCTGTCCCCACCTGTTTCGTGGAAATGCAAACGCGACAAACCCTATGTCACATTCTCTCGATCTCACTCATTCTTTTCCCCTCTCTACTCGTCGGCAGGTCGACGCGTTCGTTTGCAGCGCACCCTAGTGACAGCCCTGTGAGTCTGCTGTCGCCGATCGTCGAGGATGCGGCGACGGCGGCCGGCGCGTCGCGGACGACGAGGGCCTCCGTAGCGAAGGGAGTGCCGCGTCGGTCGCTGCGCACAATCAAGAAGAGCAGAAAGATCCTCGCGAAGAAGAAGTCGTGAGACGGGGGAGCAAGCGGCCCCATTGTTGTTGGAAGCGTAGCGATGCAGTCGATGACGTGTCGTAAATGGGTGTAACTCTCGCGAGTACAGAACGTCGTGACTGTTGCACGACGCTTTGTGACGGTGGTTTTGACGTTTTAGACTTGCGATGTCAGAAGCATTTACGTTGCTGATAGGAGTTACGATGGGCTCCAGGGTTTCAGCAGAAACCGAGGGAGCACCCAAGCATACAAAGGTAGGATGCGTTGTCATGGTGATTGTATGTAGCCTGAGCTTTAACAAGGAGGGTCAAATATCAAGTGCTAGGGGTCAAAGGACTAATTTGAGGTATTTCCGTTGATATATCGCATAGAGATCACCTTTTCAGAGCGAGGGTTTGTGTTTTTACGACTGTATTGAGAGGAACGTGGGCTATACTTTCTAAGATGTACTTTATATGGGTATGCAGTACGAGATAGCAAGCAGCAGTCAAGGAAACTCATTTATTCTTTATGTTTCCAGGAAATATGGAATGGCTATAGTTATAGAAGCTTGGGTGTGTGTTTCATGTGAAAGAAATAATCCAATTCATTTAGTTTTGTTTACATGCCTTACATATGTGCAGAACAGGCAATTATTAAAGATACGTGCACAGTGACATTTTGATTCATTCAACTCTCTGCCACTTTATCCACGATGTTAAGCAGCTGTAGTGTATGTAACAGAACTGTCCTTTAGTGATATTTAGCTCAGAAATATTACCGAGATGATTCGAAGTAGCAGACCGAAGTGCATTTGATTTAGTTGATCTTGTTCGGTGTAATAGGCATGTGACCTGGTGCTTGGTATATCTGAGAAGAATTTAGAAATTCGGTAGACTTATATAACATGTACAGGTGTTCATATGAAATGAATATGCTTATATGACTTAAGCAACATCAGTCATAACTTAGGTAATCAATTGTATCGTGTGATCATTGTGCTATAAATAATAAGTGTATTTCGACCAATAGATGGCGCCACCTTTTCAGCTAAATAAAAAGAATGTAATACATGTACAATGTATATTCTCTTTCGCAATGACGTTCACCTTTTTATGGAAGCCCTGAAACGACATACGACTTTTTGAGTTTCCGAGTTTTCGAGTTTCTGAATTTCGTATCGTATATAGTACTAGAGATGGAAGTCAAGCAAGTGTCACACCGGGAAGAATGTAAACACGTGAGAACACGCATTGAGAAATGTTCGTAAGTCGAAAACAGACACTGCGCATGCGTTATGCCCGCGTTATGACGGAGATTCTAAATTTAAATTAGGCCCACTCATTTAAATTGGTGTAAATTAATGAAAATAAGTTAATTAAATTTAAATTAGGCAAATTAGAACACACATTTATTGAATTTATGTTACATATATAATATTAATAACAAATATAATTACTATATATCTATTGTGTCGTGTGCGCGCTAGCGTGCGCGGCCCAAGGTTGTGGTTTGTTGGCAGGATGAGCATTTGGACGTCTTTCAGGAAATGTCGCTAATAGGCGAAGAGCGTCGAGGACTAGCTGTCTCTTGGTAGTAAAATTAGTTTCGTATTTATTAGCATTAGCTTTTAATTGACGCTTCAAGTGTGTTATACACGATCCTACCTCATTAATGTAAATATTGACATATGTTATGTTGCTACTTTTATTTATGAACGCTTGACAGTAGATTGTGAGCGAGGTAGCTTGTATAGTAAAGTAGCAAAATAGTTGCTAAAGTTATATATCCTCTGTATTATAGCCTAGGGTATAGCTGTATCAAATTTGTGATATGTGGGGCGTGTAGCAGAAGTACATGGTTATACCTGATGCGATTTGTGATCGGTCGGGTCCTCATTGGCCAAGATTGATTTTGTTAGAGCACGTATATCATACATATATATGTATGATATACGTGCTCTGACTTTGTATATATACGGGAAATCAGATGTCAAATAAACATTAAAAACTTTATGTAGTCTTTGTCACATAATGGTTCCACGCAATTCCTGATCAAATTCTTGTCTACAGCACACAGTTTGACCAACACGATAATTAATTATTAATGTTGAGTTCACAGGCACTTGAACGTTAATAGTAATATAAAAACGAAATTCTCGATGTTATTATAGATCTATGCTAGAATACCTCCTCGCCATAATATTCGCAAAATATTCTTCTTCTTGGAAGATATTGGGCATGCGCGAGCACCGTTTCAGACGTGCAGTACGGACTGAAGAGAACTGCATGATATAGCTTGCTGAGGGAGAGAGGGGCGGGAGACTGAGAAGAGGCGACGGGAAAGATAGCTGAGGTGCAGTATCAAAAGAAAGAGGCTGAGCTATGCACAAGGGAGGTAAGGAGAAAGACTGGAGGGGTGAAGTAGGAGTTTTGCCCCTACAGGCTAGGGCGCTCTCTAATTATAAACACAGGTTTACATATAAAAATACATTTCAGAAATCTATGCTGAGATACCCCTTAACCATATGGTTAAGGGGTATCTCAGCATATATTTCTGAAATAAATTTTTATGTATAATACATCTAAATTTACTCTGCATTAAATGCATATTCATCAGAAAATATAACTCTTCTGGTGAGTTATTGCGCATGCGTTAACACGCTAACATAGCCAGATTGTGTACTGACTGGTAGGGCATGCAAGGTCTTCGTCCTATTTCTTAAGTGAGGTCTACGGATGGTATGTTATCATATAAATCTATGATAGGATATCTGCTCCTCATTTTAAATGTATAATTTTAGCAAAATATTCTTCTTCTCGTGAGATATTGCGCATGCGTGAGCACCGTTTCAGGCTCTCAGAACGGACTGAAGCAAACTGCATAATATAGCTCGCTGAGTGAGAGAGGGTTGGGAGACTGAGGACAGACTGCAGGGAATATAGCTGAGGGCGGTAGGCGAAGAAGGAGTCTATGCGAGGGGCAATAAAGACAGTGGGAAGACGGGAGGGGATGAAGTAAGAGTTTTGCACCCTGCAGGCTAGGGTGCTTTGCTAATTATAAACACAGGTCTACATATAAAAATTTATTTCAGAAATCTATGCATATTCATAAAAAAATATACCTCCTGTGGTGAGATATTGCGCATGCGCTAACACTCTAACGTAGCCAGAGTGTGTACTGATTGGTAAGCCCTGGTCACAACGAGCCCACGACGCATTTGTGCAACGACACGACAGAAAATTTGGGCAAATCGTGGGTCATCGGGGGTCGTCGCAAGACAGTCCTACGAAATTTTGAGCATCGTTGCATCGACTTGCCGTCGTGAGGCAAAAATGAACATGCACCTTTTTTGTTG